AAAATGACACTAACATCTTCTTTCTTTTACTGCATTCTTTTTTCTTTCACAGTTTTGCAGTTTTGGTGAAGAGTCTACCACGTTCGGTTTTCAGCGCACCTGCACTTCTTCATTTTTCATTCTCATTTTCACCCTTCGGACTTTTCCTTTGAGGGTGTTAGGGTGCAGGGTACACACAAAGTAAAATGACACAAACTTATGATCTTCTCTTACCGCGTTCTTCACTGTTTTGCCGTTTTAGTTAAGGGTTTCCCACCTTTGCACATTCTTGTACACTCTTTTCAGCTCACCTGCACATTTTTGTCAGGTTGCAAGGTACGTCCAAGTAAGACCCTCACGACAGATAGGACAACTGTCATAAGGATGTGGGCGATGGTAGCAGCCCTCCCACTGATCTACAGGACGAAAACCATTCAGGTAAGCAACTTCGTCACAGCAGGAGCCAGGGCGGCTAGCATTAACCATACCTCTGAAGCATGCAGGACAGAGGGAATGCCGATTGCAGGGTAACCGGAAGGTGGGTAACAAACGAAGATAAAACCAGGGGAAATAACGACGGTGAAGACGGGGGGGATGAAGTCAGCGGTGATGAAGTCAGGGGTGGTGAAGTGGCTGAAGCAGAGACAGGGGGGCAGTCGTAGGTGAGACCCGAAGAGGGGACTCTGCAGGTGGTAATGCAGGCATGGCCACTGATGCCATGGAGGAACACACCGAGACCAAGGGCGGCACAGCAGCTGCGGTGTATATAGCTTGGCTGGAGCAATCTGACAATTATGATCTAACCATTTCTGTAGTAATTATATGTCTTATTAGGAAGTTACAGATTGACTATTGAAAAACTTATAGCTGGGGTGGATCAGTCTGACAAAATATGGTCTATTCATTTCTATAGTCAATCTAATACCCTCCTAGACTTCCTAGCTTCAAACACAGAGCAACCACTGCTAAGTTTAACCAATCGCACGAACAGTATTTTAAGGGGGGAAAAAAAAAAAAGAAAGGCACACAGTCTGTTTCTGTGAGAAAAGAAGCAGAAAACAATAACAGATTATCCCTGAAATTCACAACTGTTAGTGTTACATATTACTATGATATTATAACAATAACAAATAATTAAGGAATAATTTGCAAAATACCCCCATAAGTTGAGATATATGCCAAAGTGCCCCTGAAAGATGTGGGTAGAGCGGAATGTGTGTTGTGCCCCTGTCAGGCGGGTGTGCAACTGTGCAATCTGAACCTCCCCGTTTGGGCCTTGGCCTTTTTTTGCAATAGCGCCTAGGAAAAATTGGCAAGTACTACGGGGGGCATTTTGGAAAGTTGGATGGTACCTGGTAGGGGTATACTGCAAAGAAGGCGGTCCAACCGACGCCAGGAGGAGCATTCCGCTCTAGCCACATCTTTTAGGGGCATTTTGGCATATATCTCAACTTATGGGGGTATTTTGCAAATTATCCCAATAAATTAAATAATCGAATAGCAAGTTAAAAAATCAAACAATGAAGCATTTTACAAACAATAACAACATAAAAAAGTTAAAAAACTGTTTTCAGAGATGCGAAATGAAAAAAAAAAAAAAAACAGTCGGGAAAAAAAAAAAAGATCGACCTTTTTTTTTGTTTTTAATCTTTTTTTAGTAGTACGGCCTTCAAGTTGAGCTCGAGGCCAAAAAAGGGCCTCGCCACACCACGCACGACACGAAAAAAGAAAGAAAAAAAAGTGAGTGCATCAGATTCTTCAGGCAGAAACTGGAAAGAAGCTTGCCGAATTGGGTGGTATACATAGTAGCGGATGAATCTTTCCACCTTCTTTGGGAAGATGCACTCAACACTTTTCTCATTTCGTAAGTGGCGTGGCGATGGCCGAAGAAAGAGGTTACCGTACTAGATGCAAAAGAAATCCACAAGGAAAAATAAAAATAAAAAAAATCCACAAACAGATCCCAACTTACCTTTGCGTGGCGTGAGAGTCTGGATGCTTCTGCCGCAATCCGTTCGCACACATCAACCATGAAGCTGTTCATGATCGACATACCCTGGCTAGAAATGGCCAGTTCTGGATGAATCTGGTCATGTTCCAAGAGCGAGTTCAAATGAACAAGAGCCCAGCAGGCGTTAGGACATGGAAATGAACCTGGTCCAAGGGATGAGAAAAAGAGGAAACTCAAACCAGAGGTCCAGAGCTGAGGACTTGCAAAGGGTTGCTTTTTTTTTGGATGTGGTACGATTGTACACACAGTCAGAACCCCCTCCCAAACCTGGGGCCCCCCCCCCCCCCCCCCCCCCCCCCCCCCCCCACAAAAAAAAGAAAAAAAACCCTTCCGCCGCCTGAGAACGTAATCCCAAACATACGCCCAAACCTACCCCAGGCTCAAAAACTACCCACAAACGTACCCCCATAAGACACCCAGAAGAATTCCCAGCCCCCAAATTCCAATCATCAACCATCCCCTAAAGAAATCCAAATTCCAAATTGAGGGGTAGGCTATCCCCCAAAGAAGAGATTTGTCGGGATGGCCTTCTTTGGGGGATGCTCTACCCCCAAAGAAATCCGGATTCCAAATTTGGGCGCAGGACATCCCCAAAAGAAGAGATTTGTGGGGATGGCCTTCTTTGGGGAATGGCCATGATCCCCGAAGAAGGCCATCCCATCCCCAAAACAAATCCAAATTCCAGATTTGGGGGATGAGACTTCTTCTGGGCGTGTTAGTTAGGGGTAGGGCATCCTCCTCCAAAGAAAGGCGATCCCAACAAATCTCTCAAGACTGAACATGAGAGAGGATATTCCCGATCGCAAAGCAAGCTTCTGCCTGAAAAAAAAAAAAAAAAAAAAAAAACCCCTACAATTTAAAATATAAAATTTGAAATGTTTTATAAATGTATACTGCATATCAAAGTCAATCAAACCATTTTCAAGAAATTGTCATTGCCTACAAGTTGCTAACAACTTTGTTTTTTCTAAAAATCCAAAAAAACGAAGGTTCACCTACTAGGCTGTTTTGCCGGGTGCCTGGGCACCCAACTTGTACCCGCATTCCTGACATGTACACACCAAAATATGGCCGCAGTGAATCTTGACATGTACACAGTACTACACACCAAAATATGACGGTGTATCTTGACATGTTCTAGCAGAAGATTCATTCTCATTTTGAACATTTGGTTATTAGTGGAGCAAGTAGTAGAGAAACTCATGCAACATAATCAGCCATGATTGCAAGTGAAGAACACTCAAAAGCATGTGAAGCAGTACACGTGGAAAGAGGAAACGAGAGAGAAGCAAAGATAAGGTGATCCCGGGCCCCGAGCGCATCAGCTCGAATGACATTATGATAAGCTCAGTAAAAACGATTGCAGGCGTATGACCACCATTATAGATGCAGAGCATGCTGCCGATTACCCGGCACAGGGCTGACAGCTGTTTCGACCCGTCAGTCAGAGTACGGGCCCTCCTCAGGGGTTGCGCCTAGGTGTGACTTGGACAAGGAGATTAAACGGACTTAGTACTTTTACCTATCAGACTAGACTAAGTACCGAATGGATTGAAAGCCCTGCATCTGAACCAGGTGCCGTCCTGCCGGTCCCGGACAATGAGACTAACTTACTTATACCTATCAGACTAGTACCAAATGGACTCAAAGCCCAGTGTCTTAACCAGGTACAGGCTTCGACAAGCCGTAGGAGATTAACCTACGTACACCTACCAGACTACCAAATGGACTCAAAACCCATCATCTGAACCAGGTTACCGTACCGGTTTGGACAAGGAGATTAACCTACGTATAGTCTTATACCTCTCAGACTACCAAATGGACTCCAAACCCAGCGTCTCTCGGCGAACCAGGTACAGACTAGGACAAGGAGATTACCCTACTTATACCTATCTGACTACCAAATGGACTCAAAAGTCAACACCCAGCGTCTTATACCTCTCAGACTACCAAAAGGACTCCAAACCCAGCGTCTGCCGGTGAACCAGGTATAGACTAGGACAAGGAGATTACCCTACTTATACCTCTCAGACTACCAAATGGATTCCAAACCCAGCGTCTGCTGGTGAACCAGGTACAGACTAGGACAAGGAGATTACCCTACTTATACCTCTCAGACTACCAAATGGACTCCAAACCCAGCGTCTGCCGGTGAACCAGGTACAGACTAGGACAAGGAGATTACCCTACTTATACCTCTCAGACTACCAAATGGACTCGAAAGTCAAAACCCAGCGTCTTAACGAGGTACCGGAACGAAAAGAGCCCTGACCCACTCCCAAATAGACCCCAGGCCTACCGATTTGTCCAACATGTGAATCATTCTACCTACCCACTGTGACCATACCCCTCCAATTTCATTGTTAAACCACCAGTACTTGGCCCAGCTATCGATGCCAAGCCTGATAACGGGCTGCGCGCCATTTCGCGCCGACCCGCTAGTGCAACAAGTAGAAATTGTTTTGGCTGGCGGCACCAGCCTTTGAGGGCCAGTACCCCGAGCCTCCTGAAGTTGCGGGACGTTAACGACAACGCCCCGCCGCCGCTGTATGGGCCAAGTACTGGTGGTTTAAATCTGACCAGGGCCCTGCCGAAGTACGGACCCGGGACTCCATGGGGCTGTCCTTGGGCCCATCGGTTAAAATTGGAACCCCATACAGAGAAGGGTAATTAGCATGGCCCCTACACAACTTGAAAGATGACACGCATATTAAATTAAATCATTTAATTGATAAATAAAATCGAGTAATTATAGTGCAATATCCCCCTCCCCTCCTCCTCCTCCTTTTTCTTTTATTTAATGGTGCAAATTTCAGGACCTAATAGTTGGCATTTGATATCTCAAGGGTTGTTTGGCTTTGGAGCATTGTGCTGTCTTTTTTGCCAGGGTTGTGGAAAGTGAGGACAGAGGCCCGGTTTTGGCCTACTGAGCCCTATACTGAGTATACTCTATTACTCTGTACCTGAAATTCCTGAATGAATCCCAACGCCTGCACCTAAACGGGGTAACGGTCCCAGATTTTTTTTTTTTTTTTAAAGGGCGATGGCCTTGAGATATCATCATTGAACTGACCGGCCCCTGGTCATTCACAATTACTGTAAATTGATCATCTGATTGTATCTGGATTCCAACTTAAAGGGGTCTGTATTTCAACAGTTCATGGGTGTACCCACTGAACTAGGCCCGCCGGTGCTACCTTTTTTTCTGGGTTGTTTGAGGAGGATTCTCGATTTATGCGTGTCATCCTTGCGCAGGCGCCATTTGCTAATCTTCTCTGTATCGTTCCAATTTTAACGGATGTCCGGAAGGACTTGAGGAGGATTCTCGACCTTGCCCTTTTTTACTGAGGTAACAAAAAGAGACGAGTCTTTCACCTGTCTTTGTTCAACCACCAGTACTTGGCCCAGCTATCGGTCGACGTGGAAAAAAATAAATAGATTAGAAACGTAACGTTTTTTGTCCGACTCGGATGAATTTGGGCGCACCTGTAGTGGCCCGTGCATTTCCTAAAATCGTGGCTTAAAACAAATCTAATGGTGTTTTTTTTTTTTTTTATAAATAAAAACTAACTAAAACTAATGGTGGTTTCAAACAGAAATAAGAATAAAAGAAACTTATACATATATTTTTTCTTCTTCTGTTGTTATCATCTTTAATTCGTTCTTAACTTGTTTGGAATCTCTGGATGGCCAATTGAAATCCGACACATCTGTCTCTGACTTCTCTTCGGATCATCGGATCCGTTTTTACCTGTGTCTGCTCTCTACCGGGTCTAACGTGACCCTCTCCACCCGAATAGAATAGATTCAATAGAACGCGTGGTCATTGTGGCTGTACTTGAAGCAACTCTCGCCGTCTGGATACAGCAATATTGACTGGGCGTTCTATTCTAGTATTCCGACAAAGACGCTTATCGAAAGAGAGTGGGTGTGGCTNAGAGAGAGAGAGAGAGAGAGAGAGAGAGAGAGAGAGAGAGAGAGAGAGAGAGAGAGAGAGAGAGAGATAGAGAGAGAGAGAGAGAGAGATGTTATTCTGGTACAGAGATGGTGCTTTGGAACTGAGTCAACGTCGTGGGATTAGGTCAAATTGAATGTGTGTGTGTGTGTGTGTGTGTGTGTGAGAGAGAGAGAGAGAGAGAGAGAGAGAGAGAGAGAGAAGTTCAACGCGTGTGTCGTTAAAGAGAGCACTGTTGAAGGGGGAGGGAGGGGAACTGGTCCAAATCTTCCGAAAAACGGTCATATCTCCCTTCAATCACGCAGTAGACTTCGCAGTGTCCTACAGTTAGTGTTGCTCCTGACCTGCTTGATTCTATTGACCTGTCAGAAAGAGGAGCCCCCACCCCACCCCGGCAGATAGGACAGGCACGCGGAGGATGACTTGCATGTTCACAAGGACACCCAAGCAGAGCTACTTCAGCACAGCATTCAGCAGGACGTCTAGCACGGAGAAGTATCCCACCATCCCATCAAAACAGTCCTGACAAAGGACATCCTGTCCACATATTACCAAAGAAAACAGCAGGACGTTCATCACAGTGCGGCATCATGCAGTGTTGAAACTGTCCTTGAGCACAAACGGGACAACGAATAGGGATTCCATTGTGTACAATGATATATATATCGTCACATGAGTATCAGAGCGCAAAGCCGAAAAAAAGCAGAAGAAAACAAGAATACGATAATTAGCAGAGAATGTATATACCTCCTGATGAGTCGGTGAAACTCCGAAGAAACAGTTTGTCACAGCCCCTCGTTTGTTGTCCTCTTCTCCCCCTCCCTCTCTGCCTACGGTTTTCCGTCGGCAGCTCCTCTCTGCCTCCGGTTTACCGTAGGCAGCTCTGTTTGACGATATATAGGGCATCGCTACACCACTCACCAAATGTGAAAAAGACAAAAATGTGGCAGCCTGGCAGGTGCATCTGGCCATCTTCTAGCGGTAAGTTCATTCTCATTTTGCAGATTTCGAGAGTGGTGTGGCGATGCCCATAGTCAAACACAGCTGCCCTCTTCCCCAAACACGTGAACAGGTGACTTACGCAGGCGTGTTTAGTGTTTGTGGATTGGATTTGGATTTGCACAAACACGTGGTCGCATCGAGTGAATCTGGACGTGTTTGTGGTGAATATCGTGGTGGTCTTGGTTTATCAAAAAAAAAATAAAAAAAATCGTGGTCGCACGTACTCAGCTTTGCTCGAGTGCAGAGGCCACCTGGTCCTTGTATTGCTCGCTTTTTGCACAAGGAAAGAGGGGATTGGATTAAGGGCCTGAATCTGGATGTGTTTTACGCAGAGATGCAGAAAAGCAGGTCAATCTCTGTTTTCTGTACCTTCTCACAAACACATCCACATTCGTGCATTAAAATCCAATGCTCTTTGCTAGTGGGACCTCGATGGTGATTTTTATGCATGTCATCATTGCGCACGGGGCGCGTGCTAAACTTGGTTCTTCTTCTTGAAAAAAAAAAAAAAAAAAAAAAAAAACCTCGGTTCTTCGTTCTCCCCCAGAAAAAAAGAAAAAGTCCTTCGGGACATATCCGTTAAAATTGGAACGATACAGAGAAAGAGAAGATTAGCAGCATGGCCCCTGCGCAAGGATGACACGCATAAATCGAGAGAAAAAAAAAAAAGCAAAAACCTTGTCTGCATCGTCCCAATTTCAAGTTTTAACGGATCTCCTTGATCGAAGTCTCATGAGCAAAGAGTTGGATTGGATTCAGCTCCTGAATCTGGACGCAACTTTAGCAGAGATGCAGAAAATTTAAAGCAGTTCAATCTCGATTTTCTGCACCTTTCCACGAACACGTCTAGATTAAGGCATTCAGTCCCATCCTCTTTGCCAATGGGACCTCGCCAACCGGAGGACTGGGTATCCGCACTGAGCCTCTCTCCCAAAACCGAAAAAAAAATAAAAAAATATAAAAATTAAAATAAATATTACTGGTAGTTATTACGACTCAGCAATTGTAGTTTTTTTTGGGCTCGCCGCACAACTGGCCAAATGCCAACTTATCCAATGTATCTGGACGTAATAATCGTCCTCGTACATTTAAAATGTTGGAGTTCGGCGAATGGTGCGCGGGAACCCCTTCTTAGATTCGATTACCATGATGAACTTTTTTTTTTTTTTTTTTGGTAATGCGGTGGTTCTTATCTCCACTGAATTTTTTATTTTTTATTTTTTTATTTTATTTTATTTTATTTTATTTTATTTTGATTTTTTTTTCACTCTCTTCCTCTTTTTTTCTTTTTGTGCTGTTTTGGAAGAAGTAGGGGGCCTGGTGGGAGGAGACGAACGAGGAGAGCCGGCGTGGGCATGACGGGAAGATGAAACTAACTAATTACTTTTATTTTAATTACTAATTAATAATAGTGTATAATAATAGTATAAATTAGTAGTTATTCCTCCTTATTTTCGTCAGTCGCCTTCTTATATATTTTTCTTTGACACTTTGTCAATCACCAGGTTAATAGAAAAAACAGTGAACTGGTGCTTCACTGATTTGCTCCATTGACTTTTTACGGGAGAACTGGTCAACGCCGTCCCCCCCCCACCCCCCCCCCCCCCCCCCCCCCTCTCCCCCCCCGCCCCCAAAAAACTCAACCGGCTCTCCGACGAGACGCCGGTGCTGGTGAACCTGAAGCCCGTCGGCAACAACTATATGGAGGACTTCTTCGCCGCCTCTGGAGGGATCTCCGCCACAAACTCCTTGTCCCCCATGCCACACCACACAACACCTAAATCCACCGCTCCCGGACACCCCTCCTTCTTTTTTCCCCGGAGAACCGGCCACCCCCCCCCCCCCCCCCCCCGCCTCTCCCCCCACCCGCTTGTCACCCTCTTCTCAATAAAAAAAACGCCCCTCAGACAAATAGCGCCAAAAATAGCACAAGACGTCCATCTGCGTACTACCAAGTTGAAATCCGAATGTGGGTTTCGACGATCATTTTGATCTGTTCTTCACACCACACTCAGACACTCTCTCTCTCTCTCTCTCTGTGTCTGTGTGTGTCTCTTGTGTGTGTCTGTGTGTGTCTGTCTTTCTGTCTGTCTGTCTGTCTGTTTGTCTGTCTGTCTGTCTTTCTGTCTGTCTGTCTGTCTGTCTGTCTGTCTGTCTGTCTCTCTCTCTCTCTCTCTGTGTGTGTGGGTCCCTCTTGAATTCGTTTTTCGTTCTTTTGCTTCTCTTTTTTTAATTGCGTTTGCTATTTTGGTTTTTCCGACTTTTTCGTCCTTTTTTTTTTGTTTTTTTTTTAAATAAGCAAATGCTTTTGCTGTTTTCAAGTGTTTTGTTTTTTTCTTAAAATAAAAAAGATAATTGCTCGTCGCTCTTACCTCCTTTAAGACCTTGTAGATGTAGATCTTGTACGTGCGGCCCGAGGGCACAATCAAGGTTGTCCGCTTACGTCTCCTTCTCCCTTTATTCTTCCCCTCTGGTCTAGATCCTGATTCCTTCTTCCCCCCTGGTCTCGTTTCTCCGGGTACCGTTCCTGGTACATTTTCTGCCGCGGCTGTGCGCTTTTTTTGGGTTTTGCTCCTTTTGGAGGCTTTTCTGTCGGCGCCGATTTCCACTTCAGGATAATTTGCCGGTAGCTTTGCTGACTCAGCCTGTTGAGGAGTCGATTGCCTCGATAACACTACTGATTGGGTATCCGATTTCCTCTGTTCTTCAGCGGGGAGGTGCATCTGGTCACTCTGCTGATCTCTTCCCACCCCCTGATCATCAGGCCCATCTCCTCTCGGACTTCTCCTCCTCACTGTTCCAGATGGGTCCAATGGGTCCATCGAGGTACCACAGATATCACCAGCGACAGCCTCTAGGGGGTAACCTCCTTCCGCCATGGGAGCAGGGTGAGAACGCTGAGTACATGAAGGAGGAGGAGAGGGAGGCGGAGGAGGAGGAGAGGGAGGAGGAGGAGGAGGAGAAGGATGGGAACGAGAGGGGGGAGAACTGGCAACGGTGGTGGCAAGAGGAGGAGGGGGAGGAGGAGGGGGAGGCGGAGGAGGAGGGAAGTCAGAAGCGGGAGCAGGAGCAGGAGCAGGAGCAGGAGCAGGAGCAGGAGCAGCAGCATGGGGAGGGGGAGAAGGAGGAGGAGGAGGAATAGGAGGAGGAATGGGAGGAGTAGGAGGAGGAATAGGAGGAGGAATGGGAGGAGTAGGAGGAGGAGGAGCAAGAGAATCAGCGCCAGCGGTTGTGATATCAGCAGGAGGCCGAGGACGAGTAGAACGAAGGGAGTAGGAGGCGGCTGGAGGTGGTACCGCTGGCAAAGACGCAGGAGTGGGTATAGATGACGCTGGAGACGGCGATGGCAGAGGACCTGAGACCTGTGTCTCTGCTGCAAGCCTTCTTCGACGACCAACCAGTGCTTTCTTCTTCCTTCCCTTCGGCCTTCTTTCTTCTTCCTCTCCCTCGCTCTCACCCTCCACCACAATCACCTGCTCAACCACCAGGTCCACCACCTTCTCCTTCTCTATCGCCGTTCTCCCACCATCTTTCGCATTCTCCCCTTCATTTTCCCTGCGCCTCTCTCTCTCCTCTCTCTCCTCTCTCTCCTCTCTCTCGTCTCTCTCCTCTCTCTCCTCGTTCTGCTGCTCAGAAATATCACACTTCCCCTTCCGCTTTCCCCTGCTCCTCCCTCTCCCACTCCCTCTGCTTGGCGCGCTTTCCGGATCTTGAGCCTGGGGTTGCGACGCTAGGCTCATCTCCTTCCGCGGCCTCAGTGTACGCCCCCCTCTCCCCATCCCGATCCCGACACCATCATCCTCTCCGACCTCTCGTCTCTCAGCTGTCGACTCGCACGCTCCGCCAGCAGACGAGGGTTGTTGAACAGCAGGAGGCCCAAGGGTTGCGGTCACTACACCACCTCTCCCTTCGTCTGCCGGTGGATGACTTGCAGTCTCGCCTGCTCCCGCCTCCCTCGTCACCCTCCCCACCTCTGCCCTCTCCTCGTCGGGTCTCGACCTCGTGGGATAGTTATGACGCACTAAGCTTGGTCTTCCGCTGACCCGGTGAAGCACGAGCGACTCTTGCACACAAACCACCTCCTCCTCCACCACCAGCCGACCCATCCCACGCGGCATGTCGCTGATCACTTAACTTCGATTCAGACCTCTCTCTCTCTCTCTGTGTGTGTGTGTGTGTGTGTGTGTGTGTGTGTGTGTGTGTGTGTGGGCGGTCTACGTTGACTTTATTTTGCGGTCAAGAGGATATCAGTCCTATGACTCCTATCTGCGTCCTGCACTCTCTCTCTCTCTCTCTCTCTCTCTCTCTCTCTCTCTCTCTGTGTCTGTCTGTCTGCTTTTTCTGTTCTGCGCGGCCTACGTTGACTTTGGTTTGCGCAACTTCGCTGTCAACAGGATATCAGCCCTATCAACCTCTCTCTCTCTCTCTCTCTCTCTCTCTCTCTCTCTCTCTCTCCCTGCTTTTTCTGTTCCGTTGACCTTGGTTTGCGGTCAACAGGATATCAGGCCTATCTGCGTCCTGCTCTCTCTCTCTCTCTCTCTCTCTCTCTCTCTCTGTGTGTGCTCTTTTTCTGTTCTGCCGTCTGCGCGGCCTACGTTGACTTTGGTTTGCGCAACTTTGGCGGTCCCTTCTTAGCGTGCGCTCTCTCTCTGTGAATGATATACACACTCGACATCGTGCATGGAATTCGAGTTTAGCTAGCTTCGACTGTGCTCTTCAATGAGTCTTCATCGATGTGCTCAGGGCTCGGCATTCTACCTGGAGGGGAAGATATCGCCCGCAAAACGAAAACGAATTTCTACCGATTTTCTACGTCCCTACAAATTCCCCTTACCTACAATTTTACTCTGTATGATTCTGATTGGAAGTCCACTTCGAGCTGCAACTGGGCATATATACTTTCCAGCAAACGGTTGTGATTTGCAACACAAGCACAACACAAGCACAAACACAAACATAAACACAACAATTCTTTCGGCTTTTACCAAACAGGAACACAACAGAAAATAGTTGGTGGGTAGTAGGGAGCCTCTTGCTTATTCTTTTTTTTTTTTTTTTAACTACACTATGGGTCTTCCCTCAAATTCTTTTTGGCAGTTTTTGCCTTTCACTACGTTCCTACCACTACTCCTAAGACTAAATATAATATATAA